GAAGATGCAGCCAGAACAATAATCATACATTTGGGCTTTCTTTTGGCTATATTTAAATATTGCTTCTATACAAAAGTCTGAAAATTAAAATAGTAACCAGCTGCATTTAAGGTAGCTGGTAACACGTGATAATATTGAGCTGTCTTCCTTTTCTGCGTTAGAATGAAGTTATAACTTTTAGCAGTCATTTATGTTTGTATGCACAATAGTCACGACATGTTATGAAGATTCCAAAGCAAACGTATTTATTTCTCTGTTTTGGTTGGGTCTTTGATAAGATGATTTAATGGTATTATGCTTATTGCTAACTTTGGTTGTTTTCGGTTCTTATATTGTTTCTGGATGGTGATCTACACCATACATGTATGAACAGGAATTGATGTCAGAAATCAAGGCTTTTACCTTACTAAAATACAAATTCATGAGCCACAGGGCATGTTTTTTTATTTGTATTGAGGGCCTGTTAAATTCCTCATGGGAATATGAATACATTGTGTCACACATCTCAATTGAAATGATAATACACAATATTATTTTTTTTGTTATGAAAATTCTGGGCTAGAAAAAAAGATGTGTGATCTATAATTGAATCTGGACTCAGAGTCATTAATTGTGTAATTAGATGTGATGTGTGGCAGGGGTGGAGTCGCATCAAAACATCAGTGTTCTCCACGGTCAAAGAACGCTTTTACGAGAGGACACTCCTGCAGGCTCCTGTGTGCCCTGAGGTAAACCCTGGTCTAGAAAGGGAATTTTAGAGTATGTGCTGCTGCTCAGCAGTTTTAGCAGGGCCCACTGAGGCCGGCAGAGAGTGCCACCAAAAAGGAAAAGCTGGCTCAAAGCCACTGATGTCAGCTAAGTAAATCTGCTTCGAGACTGCAGCCATAAAATGACTGCCAGCTACTGAATACACTTTGGTCTTGTCAGCCACCTTAGCAAGTGCAACACGGGTTTTTGTTTGTTTGTTTGTTTGTTTGTTTGTTTGTTTTGCTGTGTCCATACTTATGGGAAACAGGTTGTGTTTAAGTCTACTCCCCTTTTGCTCAAGTTGTAGCAGACGTCATTCAGAGGGAACATGTCAGGTTTGAGCCTTTACATCAAGCACAAAGTAAATGTGCTTCTCTGACCCTTTGAAGCTATACCATCTAAATATTACAGCCTTATAATTTTTACCATGTGGCAATCTGAATCATTTGTCCTGGAAAAAGGCATTTAGGCAACATGAGGTCTTAACCACTCTACTGATGTACAGAGCCTGAGACGTACTTTTTTCCCTACTCTTATTTGAATAAAAAGACAAACAAATGAGCTGCCTGGTGATTGGACACAGATGAAAAGCAATATGTACACCATGAATCATTAGATGAGTCAGTTTCTAAAACCACTATAAACATTCTAAGTCCTTAACCACAATGAAAGCTGGAAATCTCGGCTTCAATAACTTCCTGTCTCAGTGCTGGCCATAGTAGCAGTAGTGGTGTTCAGCTTCCCACTAGTGAAAGGAAACCCATGGAACAAAGGCACACACTCATTTCATTTACTGAAACTGTGTATAATTTGTGGCTTTCATTCAAATGTGGGTTATTCAGTCTCCCAGTCGTTGCTTGTAATAAATTCCCTCAAGACCTTTCATCAATGGTTGCTGTACTGTTGTCATGGTTGACGCAGATCAGGCAGGCTCTCTCTGCCCTGAAGGTGCCCTGGATTCAGTGGAGGCACAGATAGACCAGAGGGTGAGCTCCCAACATTAATATGCAGGCTGTGCCCGGGAAATTAGCTTGGAATCTGATCCAGGACACAACAGTGGAGAGCTGTATTGTCCAAACATTTCATCTGTTTAATAGACCCAAACAGCAGATATGTTCAACAAGGAGTCTTATTGGTTTATAAGTGCATTATCAAGATGGCTTAGTTGTGCTGTCAACAAACAATATAGTGCTGCAACTAACAATGATCTTCTTCGATTAATCTCCAGAGTATTCTGATCACCTTGACAGAAAATGGTGAAATATTATGTCCATCACAGTTTCCAGAGTCTATGGTAATTTCTTTACTTATCTTGTTTTGTCCAGTCAAAGATCAATAAAATCTATCAAAGATATTCAGTTGAAAATTGTAGAAGACTTAGGAACCCAGCATATACCTGCACAGGAGAAGCCGGGGAAGGAGTATGCTGTC